CCACCAGCCACTCCTTGGAAGGAAGATGGGGCAATCTACTTCCATAGTGATACCGCCTTGGAAACCCAAGGAGGGGTTGCTATGAGTCGGGTCTGACTCGACGGCACATAACAACAACAACAACAACAACAACATACCTATTTAGGTTCCCAGTGGATGATAGGTAATCTAGAAAACAACTTTGTACATTACCAGTTGCTGTTGAATTGACTTCAACCCATGGAGACCCCATGTGTGTCAGAATAGAACTGTGATCCATGGGGTTTTCAATCGATAATTTTTCAGAAGTAGATCACCAGGCCTTTCTTCCAAAGAGCCTCTGGGTGGACTGAAACCTTCACCCTTTTGGTTGGCAGCTGAACACATTAATCATTTGACGCACCCAGGGACTCTAAATATGCTGCTTATTAGTTATCACATTATAGCATATTTGTTATTTTTTCTATGTCATTGTTCCTCCAAAATAATCATCAAACTTAGCCCTTTTCACTAGCCTCCTCCTCAACAACATTTTTTCTCACCTACATGTTTAAATATCACATTTTTCCTATCTCCATTTTGATCATGAGGTTTTCCCTCTCTCATATTCCAGCGTTTTCTGATCATTTCCCATATGAGATGCAAATCCCTGAAATAACTCATCAACCCAATCCCTGCTCTCAGACTGCAAATCTCTTCTAAGGAGTCTTCCCTATTTAAAACACAGTCAGCTTCCATCTCAGACTTTTATATATATATGATATCATGACTTATCAGTCTCTATAAAATAGAGGTTCACTGATTGGAATTCATATTCTCAACAACATTCAAGTGTTAGGGAGGTAGCTTTTTCTTAGGGAAAGAGCCTGGGATTTGGACCTAGACAGATCCACATTTGAATCCTAGCACAATTATTGTGTGATCTCAGGAGAGCAACTTGGTCTCTTTAAGTCTTCCATATCTGATGATAATACCTAATGTCCAGATTGTTGTGAGGACAAAATGAAACAATGTGTAGTATAAATCTAGTACAGTGGGTGGCATATGTTGTTTATTAATAAATGATTGTTTCTTCCATTTCCTGGACTCTATATATTTCCTGAGCTTACTATTAAAAGGCTGTTTTAGAGTCAGGAACTGTTTCCATCTAAAAGCATGCTAAGAGTTCCTACATACATAATAGAGACTCGAGTGTGTGAAGAAAATACATACACTCCGTTTCCTTTCTGCTTGCTCAGTCAATCCCCCACCAGGACTGCTGGAGCACACAGGGAAACATCACCTCTCAGAGGTCCATATTCTCACTATAGGTAGCACATTGGTGGTGGGGGAAGTCTCTAGGTTCTAGAGCAAGCTGCCCCACCAAACAGAGAGAGAAGGTTACAGACAGAGACACAAAGTTCATTAACTCAAGGCCCCAACTCACCTGCCAGAACCAGCTTCCCTGAAGCAAGATGAAGCTTGAATACAAAAGCTCCAAAATTATGTTGGTCCTCATGAAATCGATGAAGACAAATAGTCCTGTCACAATGATGACCAAGACCAGCAGCTGGTGCACAAAGATGTCCAGCATATCTCGGCCATGAGTATGGTTGTAGAAGATAAAAGCTGAGAAAAGGGGGGCAGGGGAGAAGAAAAAGCTTGTCTTTTTCAATGAAACTAAGGGCCATCTACTTACTGTTTCTTTTTTATGGTGTTTCTCAGTTAATTCCTTCTTTCTCCTTCCCCCCTCTCTCGTTCTCTTTCCCTCTCATTCTCTGTCCCCCGCCTCATTCTTTCTTTCTCATTCTTTCTCTCATACTTACCCTCCACAAAAAAGGCGTTTGACAACATTAACTTGGCTAAGGAGGCAGGAAGTGAACGGCTAGTGTAACATAAGATGTTTGTCACACCAACCAGCCCAAAGAAGAAATACATAGTGCAATGATGCCAGCCCAGGAGCTTGTTCCACTGGCCTTCTTTATAATCATATAAGGTCAGGTAAGGTCCTCCAGGAATAAACTGTTCTCCAGTCATACCTGCAGAGGAACATATCACAGTTTTAATAGCACTCTCCCTAACCTTACCTAGAATACAGACTCATGGGAACATTAGCCCGCAGCTTATTCCAATCTATCTATTATATATAATCCATCAATATATAGATATATAGGTATCTCTATATCTATATATCTATAGATAGATATATAGATATAGAGATACCTATATAGATAGATATAATCTATCAATTATGTCTCTTTTTACATTATTTCTGTCTTTTAAGTATATTCCTAATAGCTGAGCACTGGTGCTTTATGCTATTTTTTTTTAAGGTTCAAATATTGGTTCAGATATTCAATTGTAGTCAAAAAGCTATTTCAGATCTCCAAGGCTGATGATCTTAGTTCTGCTGCCTATTCCAATGTAGTGACAAAGATAAATCCTGAATGATTTGGGTGTTTGGATTTACAAGAACAGTCCTGTCAAGGTTAATTATTTTCTTCTTAGACATTTCATTTTTGAGTAGCTTCCATGAAGTAGGGGTTGTGCTTGGTTCAGGATAAAAATGCTGAAGTATAAGCTTTTTCCCAATAAGTTTAACCAAGAATGCTCAGATGGCTAGAGTGTATTGTTTTGTCAGTTATATAAAATTAATCTTTTTAGAGATCTGTTTTATGTATTAATGTATAGAATTTGACAAAGGATCTCCTCTCTTTGGAAATGGACATTGCTATAATTTGAAGGCCATTAGCAAAGACCTACTGTAATGAATAAAAACAAAGAAATCCAGTGGGGAAATGGTAAGTGTTACATTTAAAAAATGAGAGGCTACAGTGGAACACTGAGAACACAGAACATTTTTATAGAATTTTCAAGGTCAAGGGAAGATTCTTAGTAGTCCAGCCTGACTTTTCTCTTCAATTTAGGAACCATGAGAAAAGGGTCAGAAGGCAAGGACTTCTTCAGCCTTGACCTTTCTTGACAGCCTACAAATAATGATTGCCTATAATAGCTCCAGTATTGTCATATCATTTTGAAAAGGGTTTCCAATAAAGTCTACTCTCTCAGGCATCAGAAGAATAGAAATAAAATTATCTCAGAAGCTCTAAACAATAGTATAAAGGAAATTCACCTTGACTGGTTTGGCAAGTTAACTACTATGACTAACTAATCACAGGACAGGTCTTTTTATAAACATGAAGCATCACCTTCCTAACAAACTATATAAATAGAAATTACAATTAGAATACTTGTTAAGAAATACTTGAATTAAAAAAATTCATTTTAGCAATTTCTTCATTTGACATTGAATTTCTTTCTGTATGTGAAACACCCAATAGGAGAAAATAGAACACAGAAATTATCCACTCACCAGTTAAAGCCATGCCAATTAAGATGGCTCCCTCTAAAATTTCTATTCGATGGAATAACGTTTTAGAACCAAGATAGTAAGTTTTCTTGTACTTTTTGCAGGCATATTTCAGAGTATATTTTGTACTCCACCACAGACCCATGAAATAGAAAAAACTTCCAGGGAGGGCATGACCTTTGAAACTCCCCATCTTGATCTATTAAAACAAGAACACACAAAAAATGAAGACATTTCATTTCCAGAACCTGGTCAACACACTGATTGTTCCTATAAAGTTCACCATCTTCAGATGATTGTGAGTACAACAGTGATTTAAAAGCATCAAATGTTACTGTTGACAGTAGTAGATCTCATTACAATATAAAAAAAAAGAAAAATTCATATTTGTTATACACAGTTGGCACTGTGTCAAGGGTTTTATGTGATATCTCCAAATCAATCTTTACAATATAGTCACAAATATGAGTTTATATTATACCATTTTCAATTTAAGATACAGATTTAGAGAAGTTAAATAACTTGCTGAAATCTCACAAAATTAAGTTTTGTTGTTGTTTACCAGAAAGCAAAAAGGACTTTTTTTTAATGGTAATTAAAAAATTACCATTAAAAAATCTAATTCATCATACAATTGCACTTTAAGCATATGTAAAGGAAAGTAGCCAAAGCAAATGAAAGAAATGATGAAGTAAATGATCTGAACAGATTTCAAAGGGTGGCTCAAGAAGACAAAGTTAAGTATTATAATGAATTGTGCAATGACCTGGAGTTGTAAACCAAAGGGAAGAACACACTCAGCATTTCTCAAGCTGAAAGAACTGAGGAAAAAATTCAAGCCTTGAGTTACAATATTGAAAGATTCTATGGGAAAAATATTGAATGATGCAGGAAGCACCAAAAGAAGATGGAAGGTATACTTAGAATCACTGTACCAAAAAGAATTGGTCATTGTTCAACTGTTTCAGGAGACGGCATGTGATCAACAACCAATGGTAATGAAGGAAGAAGTGCAAGCTGCCCTGAAGGCACTGGTCAAAAACAAGGCTCCAGGATTTGACAGAATACCAACTGAGATGTTTCAACAAGTAGATGCAACACTGGAAGTACTCATGCATCTATGCTAAGAAATTTGGAATACAGTTACCTGGCCAACTGACTGGAAGAGATTTATATTTGTGCCCATTCAAAGAAAGGTAACCCAATAGAATATGGAAATTATCAAACAATATCATTAATATTATACACAAGAAAAATTTTGCTAAAGATAATTTAAAAATGGTTCCAGCCATATAGCAACAGAGAACTGCCAGAAATTCACACTAGATTCAGAAGAGGACATGGAATGAGGGATACCATCACTGATGTCAGATGGATGGTGGCTGAAAGCAAAGAACACCAGAAAGATGGTTACCTGTGTTTTATTGACTATGTAAAGGCATTTGATTATGTGGCTTATAACAAATTATGGATAACATTGAGAAGAACTAAACTGTACTCATGAGGAAGATTAATTGTTCAAACAGACCAAGGGATACTGTGTGGTTTAAAAGCAGAAAATTGTGTTTCAGGGTTATTCAATCAGTATGCTGAGCAAATAATCCATGAAGCAGGACTTTATGAAGAAGAATGCAGTAACAGGATTGGAGGTGGACTGATTAACAATCTATGATGTGCAAATGACACAACCTTGCTTGCTGAAAGCAAAGAAGACTTGGTGCACTTACTAATGAAGATCAAACTCCACAGCCTTCAGGATGGATTACACCTCAATGTAAAGAAAACATAAATCCTCACTACTGGACCATAAGTAACATCATGATAAATGGAGAAAAGATTGAAGTTATCAGGGATTTCATTTTACTTGGATGCACAACAATGCCCATGGATGCAGTAGTCAATAAATCAAATGACGTATTGAGTTGGGCAAATCTGCAAAAGGCCTCTTTAAAATATTCAAAAGCAAAAATGTCACTTTGAAGATTAAGTTGTACCTGACTCAAGCCATGGTATTTTCAATCATCTCATATGCATGTCAGAGGGAAAACCAGAAAGATGTTTGCCTGTGTTTTATTGGCTATGCAAAGGCATTCAACTGTATGGATCATAACAAACTATGTATAACATTGTGAAGAGTGGGAATTCCAGAATAGTTAATTTTGTTCATGAGGAACCTGTACATAGACCAAGAGGAAGGGAGAGTTTAAAATCAGGAAAGCTGTGCATCAGGGTTGTATAATTTAACTATACTTATTCAATTTGTATGTTGAGCAAACAATCTGAGAAGGTGGACTATATGAAGAATGCATCATCAGTGTTAGAGGAAGACTCATTAGCAACCTGCAATATGCATATGACATAACCTTGCTTGCTGAAAGTGAAGAGGACTTAAAGCACTTACTTGAAGCACTACAGCCTTCAGTATGGATTACACCTCAACATAAAGAAAGCAAAAGTCCTCAGAACTGGACCAGTAAACAGCATCATGATAAATGGGGAAAAGATTGAAGTTGTCAGGGATTTCCTTTTATTTGCATCCACAGTCAATGCTCATGAAAGCCAAAGTCAAGAAATAAGATGTCATATTGCACTGGGTAAATCTGCTGCAAAAGACCTTTTTAAAGTATTAAAGAGCAGAGATGTCACTTTGAAGACCAAGGTGTGCCTAACCCAAGCCATCATATTTTCAACTGCCTCATATGCATTTGAAAGCTGGATAATGAATGAGGAAGACCAACGGAGAATTGATGCATTTGAATTATGGTTGGTAAAGAATACAGAGAGCAGCTCGAGTAGACAAAGCCAATTACTATAATGAAATGTGCAAAGACCTGGAGTCTGAAAACCAAAAAGGAAGAACACGCTTGGCATTTCT